CGAGAACTGGAAATTAAAGTTGTCAAACTATTGCAACAGCAAGCCCATTTCCGCCATACACAATATTATTTTAGGGGATGTACTAAACTGCATCAGGGACGGACTGACCATTTGGAAACTCGGGCACTGCCCGAGGTCCCAGGGTCAGTAGGGGGCCCCATGAGATGCCCCATGTACCTTTTTTGAGTTTGGGCAAGGACACAGGTGCCCCATGATCCCCGATTGCCCGGGGGCCCCATGAGTTGTCAGTCCGCCCCTGAACTGCATATACAGATTATGGGATGATTGGATTATTGGCTCCAATTATTATTATTATTATTATTATTATACAGTATTTATAAAGCGCCGATAGTTCACTCAGCGCTGTACATTACAAAGGGGGACAGAACATGTGACAGAACAATAACAATACAATGCAAAACATGAGGGGATTGAGGGCCCTGCTCTTTCGAGCTTACAATCTAGGAGGGAGGGGATGGTGGCACAGGAGGAGATAGCTGTGGGGGATGGAGTGGTAGGAAGAGTGGAGGAGGTTGGCAAGTTAGCAGGGGGTGGGGTAGGCTTCCCTGAAGAGATGGGTTTTCAGGGTGCACCTAAAGGAGAGGAGAGTAGGTGATAATCTGATGGGTTGGGGCAGGGAGTTCCAGAGGATGGGTGACACCCTGGAGAAGTCCTGGAGGCGGGCATGGGAGGAGGAGACCAGGGAACTAGAGAGAAGGAGGTCTTGTGAGGAACAGAGTGTGCGTGCTGGGTGGTACTTGGATATTAGGTCAGTGATGTAGTTCGGGGCAGTGTGGTGGACGGCTTTGTACGTCAGTGTTAGGATTTTGAATTTGATCCGTTGCGCAATTGGGAGCCAGTGGAGGGATTGGCAGAGGGGGGTGGTGGAGATGGAGCTGTTAGAAAGGTGAATGAGTCTGGCTGCCGTATTCAGGATCGACTGAAGCGGGGATACCCAGCGGCGAGGCAGGCCAGTAAGGAGGGAGTTGCGGTAATCGAGTCGTGATATGATGAGGGAGTGGATGAGCTGTTTAGTGGTTTCTGGGGTTAGGAACGTGCGTATTTTGGCGATTGTTGGAGGTGGTGGAGTCTGCACGAGCTTGTTAAAGGTTGGACTTGGGTCTGGAAGGATAGGTTTGAGTCCAGAATGACACCAAGTACTCTGGCCTGTGGGGCGGGTTTGATGGTGGCGTTATTGGACATGATGGAAAAATCAATGGGGGTGGTGTCCGGGCTGGGGGGAAGACAAGAAACTCGGTCTTGGAGAGGTTCAGTTTAAGGAAGTGTAGCGACATCCAGTTAGATATGTCGCTCAGTAGGTGTGTGATTCGGGCAGAGACTGAGGGGGTGAGGTGGGGGGTTGAGAGATAGATTTGTTTGTCGTCGGCATATAGGTGGCAGTTGAAGCCGTGAGAGTGTATGAGTTGGCCAAGGGAGGAGGTATAGATGGAGAGAGAGAAGGGGCCCGAGGACGGAGCCTTGAGGGACCCCAACAGAGAGGGGGAGTCAGGGGAGGTGGTAGCATTATAGGTAACGCTGAAAGAGCGTTGTGACAGGTAGGATGAGAGCCAGGAGAGAGCAGAATCTCTGAGGCCGAGGGAGTGTAGTTTTTTGAGGAGGAGGGGGTGGTCGACTGTGTCGAAGGCCGCAGAGAGGTTCAAGGAGTAGGAGCACTGAATAGTGGCCATTAGCTTTGGCGGTTAGCAGGTCTTTGGAGAGTTTGAGTAAGGAAGTTTCGGTGGAGTGTAGGGGACGGAAGCCGGACTGTAGGGGGTCGAGGAGGTTGTTGTCGTTGAGGTGAGAGCATAGGTGGGTGTAGACTAGGCGCTCGAGGAGTTTCGATGTAAATGGGAGCAGGGAGATGGGTCTGAGGTTGTTTGGGTCATTAGGGTCCAGGGAGGGCTTTTTAAGTATGGGGGTGATGTGTGCATGTTTCAGAGGGGAGGGGAAAGTGCCGGAGGAGAGGGAGAGATTAAAGATGTGGGTGAGGGAGTGTAGGATGGAGGGGGAGGGAGGTCGTAGGAGTTGTGAGGGGATAGGGTCGAGGGGGCAGGTGGTGAGGCGGGCATCAAAGAGGATCTTGGAGACTTCCTCGATGGTAGTAAGATCAAAGGTGTGAAGTGTTGGAGGGCTTCAGTATGAGGAATGAAGGGTGGGGTGGAAGTGGGAGGTCAGAGCAGTGGTGGGGCCGTGGGAGAGGGGTCATGAGGGGGTAGCTGAGTGAGGGGGAACGGGGTTGGAGGGAGTTTGAGCAGCGACGAAGTCCCTGCGGGTTATGTCGAGGGGGAGGGGGGATGAGGGGGTAGCTGTGTGAGAGGGGACAGGTTGAGAGGGCGTGTGAGTTGCGGCGATGTCCTTGCGAATTGTGTCAATCTTGTTTTTGAAGTGATTGGCAATCTCAAGGGCAGTGAGTGAGGTGCTGGGTGGAGGTGGGGGGGGGAGAGCAGGGATTTGAAAGTGGAGAAGAGCCGGCGAGGACAAGTGGAGAGGGTGTTGATAAGGGTTATGAAATAGGCTTGCTTGGCGGCGTGGAGGGAGGTGGTATAGGCGAGGTAGGTGGCTTTGTAGAGGGAGAACACACGAAGGGATCTGGTTTTGCGCCAGAAGCGCTCCAGCGCGCGACTGCGTCGTTTGAGGCATTTCGTGTGGTCGTTTTGCCAGGGGGTGAAGCGATCGGGTCTAATGCTACGTGTGGTTAGGGGTGCCAGGAAGTCAAGGGCAGCTGACAGTGAGTCGTTGTATGCAGTAGTGGCCAGGTCAGGGCATGACAGAGGGAGGATACTGTCATACAGACGGTCAGCTGCCGGGTGAGATGGGTTGGGTTCAGATTGTGGAGGTTGCGGTTAGACGCTTCGGGGGAGGGAGTTGAGGGAGGGGGAGATGGAGAATGTGAGGAGGTGGTGGTCAGAGAGGGGGAAGGGGGTGTTAGTGAAGTCGTGGGGGGTGCAGAGGTGGGAGAAAACGAGGACCAGGGTGTTTCCGTTGGAGTGGGTGGAGGACTGTGTATGCTGTGTGAGCGCGAAGGAGGAGGTTAGAAGGAGGAGTTGGGAAGTAGCCGAGCTGTTGGCATTGATCGAGATATTGAAGTCGCCTAGGATGATGGTCAGTAATATGAGAATAGTTATTTTTCTACATGGGGATTATGGGTGTAATATCATGGTTAAACTTGCCTAGGAACCCATTTGACTTTTTTCTGATAAGAATATGAGAATAGTTATTTTTCTACATGGGGATTATGGGTGGGATATTGTTTTTAACATGCCTAGGAACACATTTGACCCCTTTCTGATAACAATATGAGAAGAGTTATTTTTTTACATGGGGATTATGGGTGAAATATCATTGTTATATATGCCTAGTAACACATTTGACCCATTTATGATAAGAATATGAGAATAGTTATTTTTCTACATGGGGATTATGGGTGTATTATTGTGGTTTAACATGCCTAGGAACACATTTGACTTGTTTCTGATAAGAATATGAGAACAGTTATTTTTCTATATGGGGATTATGGGTGGAATATCATGGTTAAACATGCCTAGGAACATAATATATATGATAATATGATAACATATAATAATAATAGAAGAGTTATTTTTCTACATGGGGATTATGGGTGGATGGTCGTGGATACACATGTCAAGGACTATATTTGACCTATTTCTGATAAGAACATGCATATAATTATTTTTCCACATGGGGGGTAATAGGTGGAATATCATGTTTACACATCCCACATAATACATTTTACCTTTTTTAGATAAGAATATGGGTAAAATTACTTTTATTTATGGGGATTATGGGAGCAATATCATGGGTACACATCCAGCATAAAAGATGTAAGCTGTTTCCTATAGAATTTGGGAATTATTATTATTATTATTATTATACAGGTTTTATATTGTGCCAACAGTTTGCACAGTATTTTACAACATGAGGGCAGACCGTACAGTTAGAAATAACATTCAATACAGGAGGAATCAGAGGGCCCTGCTTGTTAGAATTTGCAATCTAAAAGGGACAGACAAGTGATACAAAAGGTAATAATTGGGGGGGATGAGCTGATGCAGAAAATAAATGTACAGTTGTTAGGTGGAGGAAGAATAGGCTTCTCTGAAAAAAAGGTTTTTCAGGGATTGCCTAAAAGTGGAATATAAATATTTTTTTTATGTAGGGATTACGGGTAGAGTATCATGGGTATACAGTGATGGAAAAATATTTGGCACCCCTGTATTTCAGATAATGCACTACTTCACCCAGAAAATTGTTGCAATTACAAATGTTTAGGCATTTTTATGTTTATTTCTTTTGTTTTTATTGGTATGACACAAAAAAAAAGTGGAGAAACAAAAAGCCAAATCTGACCCATTCCACGCAAAACCCCAAAAATGGTAAAATGTGTTCCAAGACATGTTTAACAATGGAATTCCACCCATCATCCCCATATAGAAAAATAACCATACCCATATTGTTATGAGAAACTGGTCAAATATGGTCCTTGGCATGTGTATCCACAATTGTCCACCCATAATCCCAATGTAGAAAAATAACTATTCTAATAGTATTGTCATAAACAGGTCAAATGTGTTTCTAGGCATGTTTAACCATGATATTCCACCCATACTCCCCATGCAGAAAAATAATTATGCCCATAATCTTTTCAGAAATAAGTCAAATAAAAAACAGGTTAAATAAGTCCTTGGCATGTGAATCCGCAAAAATACCGTATTTTTCGCTCCATAAGACGCACCTGACCATAGGACGCGCCTAGGTTTTAGAGGAGAAAAACAAGAAAAAAAATATTCTGAACCAATGGACTGCAGACACAGTACAGGAGATGACCAGAGACTGCGGACACAGTGCAGGAGATGACCATAGACTGCGGACACAGTGCAGGAGATGACCATAGACTGCGGACACAGTGCAGGAGATGACCAGAGACTGTGGACATAGTACAGGAGATGACCAGAGACTGTGGACATAGTACAGGAGATGACCAGAGACTGTGGACATAGTACAGGAGATGACCAGAGACTGCGGACACAGTACAGGGGATGACCAGAGACTGTGGACATAGTAGAGATGACCAGAGACTGCAGACAGTGCAGGGGATGACCAGAGACTGCAGACAGTGCAGGGGATGACCAGAGACTGCAGACGGTAAAGGAGATGACCAGAGACTGCAGACAGTACAGGGGATGACCAGAGACTGCAGACAGTAAAGGAGATGACCAGAGACTGCTGGGGAGGGAGGAGGAGCGGGTACCTGAATTTGACAGGTACCCATTCCCACTTCCTCGGAGTTGTCCTTCCCTCTTCTTCCCGCGCTGGCTTTTTGTGACAGCCGGGTGCCCACTGCGCATGCGCAAGAAGCGCTGTGCTTTGTGAATGGCCCGGAGCCTTCTGGGACCTGTCATGTGTCCCAGAAGATGCTGGACCATTCACAAAGCGCAGCGCTTCTCGCGCATAAGCAGTGGGCACTCGGCTGTCACAGAAGCCGACGCGGGAAGACTGTACAGCGCTGGAGCAAGGAACAGGTAAGGTCCTGCAGGAGAGAAGAGCTGAGCGGCCCCGGCCCGGTATTCTGACACGGTGGTGGCAGAAATACCGGACCAGCTTTATATTCGCTCCATAAGACACACTGACATTTCCCCCCCTTTTTGGGGGAAAAAAAGTGCATTTTATGGAGCAAAAAATACGGTACACTCATAATCCCCATATAGAAAAAATAACTGTTCTCATATTCTTATCAGAAACAAATGTGTTTCTAGGCATGTTAAACCACAATAATACACACATAATCCTCCTTTAGAAAAATAGCTATTCTCATATTCTTATCACAAATGGGTCAAATGTGTTCCTAGGCAAGTTTAACCATGATATTCTGCCCATAATCTCCATATAGAAAATAACTATACTCATATTCTTTGGAGAAACAGGTCAAATATGGTCCTTGGCATGTGTATCTGCAATCATCCACCCATAATCCCCTGGAAATGAATACCTATTCTCATATCGTTATCAGAAAGGGGTCAAATGTGTTCCTAGGCATGTTTAACATGATATTCCACCCATACTCTCCATGTATTTTTATTATTATTATTATTATTATTATATACAGTATTTAGCGCCAAAAAGTTTGCTCAGCGCTGTACATTAGAGTGGGAGACAGTACATGAGACAATACAGTAACAATACAATACACGAGGGGTTTGAGGGCCCTGCTCCTTGGAGCTTACAATCTAGGAGGGAGGGGGTAGTGGTAAAGGAGGAAATGGCTGTGGGGGATGGAGTGGCAGGAGGAGTGGAGGAGATCAGCAGTTAGGTGAGGGCGGGGCAGGCTTCCCTGAAGAGATGGGTTTTCAGGGTGTGCCTAAAGGTGAGGAGGGTAGGTGACAGTCTGATAGATTGGAGTAGTGAGTTCCAGAGGATGGGAGAAGTCTTGGAGAAGTCCTGGAGTCGGGCATGGGAGGAGGAGATCAGAGAGCTATAGAGTAGGAGGTCTTGTGAGGAGCGAAGAGTACGTGTTGGGTGGTATTTGGATATCAGGTCGGTGAGGTAGTTTGGGGCAGTATTATGAATAGCTTTCTATGTCAGTGTTAGTAATTTGAATTTTATGCGTTGGGCAATCGGAAGCTAGTGGAGGGAATGACAGAGGGGGGTGGCGGATACGGAGCGGTTTGGTAAGGTGGATGAGTCTGGCTGCAGAGTTCAGTATAGACTGAAGCGGGGATAGCCTGTAATGAGGTAAGCTGGTGAGGAGGGAGTTACAGTAATCGAATCGTGAGATAACAAGGGAATGAAGGAGTTGCTTTGTAGTTTCTAGGGTTAGGAACGAGCATATTTTGGAGATGTTGCGGAGGTAGAGCCTGCATGAATTTGCCAGCGATTGGACATGGGGCTGGAAGGACAGATTGGAGTCTAGAGTGACACCTAGGCTTGTGGGGTGGGACTGATGGTAGCGTTGTTGGTCGTGGGTGGAGGGGGGGGGGGGAAGCGGGCTGGGGGAAAACGAGGAGCTCGGTTTTGGAAAGGTTTAATTTGAGGAATGGAGTGACATCCAATCTGATATGTTGTTCAGTAAGCAGGTGATTCGGGCGGAGACTGAAGGGGTGAGGCGAGGGGTAGAGAGGTAGATTTGCGTGTCATCAGCGTAGAGGTGGTAGTTGAAGCCGTGGGAGTGTATCAGCTGGCCAAGGGAGGAGGTGTAGATGGAGAAGAGGAGAGGCCCGAGGACAGAGCCTTGAGGGACCCCAACAGAGAGGTGGAGAGAGGGGGAGGTGGCAGCGTTATAGGCAACACTGAAGGAGCGCTGGGATAGATAGGAGGAGTGCCAGGAGAGAGCGGAGTCTCTGAGGCCAAGAGAGTATAGTTTTTTAAGGAGGAGGGGGTGGTCAACTGTGTCGAAGGCCTCGTAGAGGTCGAGGAGTAGGAGCACTGAGTAGTGGCCATTAGCTTTGGCGGTTAGCAAGTCGTTGGTGAGTTTGAGTAGGGCGGTTTTGGTGGAGTGTAGGGGACGGAAGCCAGACTGTAGGGGATCAAGGAGGTTGTTGTTGTTGAGGTGGGAGCTTAGGTGATTATAGACTAAGCACTCGAGGAGTTTGGATATAAATGGCAGCAGGGAGATGGGTTTACGGTTGTTTAGGTCGGTGGGAGCCAGGGAGGGTTTTTTAAGTATGGGAGTGATATGGTAGTAAAAAAATAACTATACTCATGATCATTTTAGAAATAGGTCAAATATATAGTCCTTGGCATGTGTATCCACAATAATATACCCATATTTAACCATGATATTCCACCCATAATCCCCATGTAGAAAAATACCTATACCTATATATTGTTATCAGAAAGGGGTCAAATGTCTTCCTAGGCATGTTTAACCATGATATTCCACCCATATTCCCAATGTGAAAAATAACTATACACATATTGTTATCAGAAACGGGTCAAATAAGGTCCTTGGCATGTGCATCAACAATAATCCCCATGTTGAAAAATAGCTATTCTCATATTCTTATCAGAAAAAAGTCAAATGTGTTCCTAAGCATGTTTAACAATTATATTCTACCCATAATCCCCATGTACAAAAATAACAATACCCATAATCATTTCAGAAATAGGTCAATATTTCGCCCATAATCCCCATATAGAAAATAACTATACTCATATTCTTTGAAGAAACAGGTCAAATATGGTCCTTGGCATGTGTATCTGCAATCATCCACCCATAATCCCCTGTAGACAAATACCTATTCTCATATTGTTATCAGAAAGGGTTCAAATGTGTTCCTAGGCATGTTTACCATGATATTCCCCCACCGCCTAATCCGCTGCCATCCGGGCAGCAGCGGACACTACAGGGGCCCCGGAGCACCCCCGGCCCCCACTGAACCCACTAGGAGGGGTACCGACCAATCTGGGCCCCCTCCGAAATCGCGACCTACTGCAGCCTCTGAAGACGCGGCCTCGCGTAGATGGAGGGCCGAAACGCGACGCTGCCGCCGGATCGTGACGCTGCTGCTCCGTCCCTTGACCCCTGCCCTCTGACACACTGTGAGGTGGTCCTACCCTGGCAGCCCTCTCCACTAGCTCCGGGGGCCACAGCAGGCAGGCAGCAGCCTAACAACACCCCAGGAACCACTGCAAGCAGACAGCAGCCAAGAAACGCTCCTGAGACCACCGCAGGCAGACGATCCTGAGACCACCCCAGACAGTTAGCAACCAACAACGCAAAAGGCTCCAAGGACACTGCGGCCTACCGCTGCCTTCTAAGCCTCGCTACTAATCAACGCCTGAACCAGGACGCCGCCGTCCACGCCAGCGAGAGGGGAGCTACCACCACCGCCTCCCCTACTTACAGCCGCCGCAGAGTGAAGCGAAGCAGCAACCACCCCCCACCGACACCGAGAGGGTAAGCCGCCACTGGCACCGGGAGGGTAAGCCACCGCTACCACATCTGCTTCCCTGCTCCCCACCGCGTGTACCACACAGCCGTGCCCCTGCCACCACTCAGCCCCGGGCCCCGTCCAATCCGGCGGAGCCCTACTGCGCCTACCAACACCTAGCCCACTCCACCTCCAGACTTCGGCCAGCTCCACCTCCAGACGTCAGGCATACACCACCTCCTGATGCTGGGCCTTTAGCACCTCCTGACGCTGGGCCTTTAGCACCTCCTGACGCTGGGCCCTCAGCACCTCCTGACGCTGGGCCTTCAGCATCTCCTGACGCCGGGCCCTCAGCGCCTCCTGACGCCGGGCCCTCAGCGCCTCCTGACGCCGGGCCCTCAGCGCCTCCTGACGCCGGGCCCTCAGCGCCTCCTGACACCGCCTTCAACACCTCCCGACACCGGGCCTTCAACACCTCCCGACACCGGGCCTTCAACACCTCCCAACGCCGTGCCTTCAGCACCTCCCGATGCCGAGCCTTCAGCGCCTCCCGACGCCGGGCCTACAGCACCTCCAGACACCAAGCCGTCAGCATCCCCAGACGCCGTGCCCTACAGCTCGTCCAGTCGCCGAGCCACTGTACCCACGGACACCGTGCCACAGCACCCACGGACGCCGGCCTACAGCACCCACAGACTGCAACCAGCCCGCTGCTGATCCAGCCGCCCACCACTCTCACTCTTCTCCCACAGATGGACACTGATGAACTCCACCACGAAGTGACAGACTCTCCGCTTCATCATGCCCTGATGTGAAACCTCTCACCTGCCCGATCTGACCAGCACTCCGCTCACCCTAGCATGCCACCCGCACTCCTCTTCCTTGTATTCCTCCCCTCCATTCCCAAAATCGCCTCCTCTCTACCCCCCTACTCCCCAAAACCAGCTCTACATTGCTCCTTCACTTCTTCCTTCTCCCCACTACGGCTCCCACCACCTCCTCCTAATACTGCACTCTCCCGCCAACCCACATACCACCACTAGCGGATCCACACACTCCTGCACATCCCGTTCCCATGCCACCTTCCTCACCCTTCTCCTCCTAACCGCCGGCGACATCTCCCCGAACCCTGGCCCCCCACATCCCCACTCCCCCTCTAGGCACCCTCCTGCTCCCGCCAGCCCCGCAACCCTCTCAACCTCATACCCGTCCCCCTCCTCCCCGCATCCACCCCTCCTCTCTCGGTTGCACTCCTGAACGCCCGTTCGGTTTGCAACAAGCTCACCGCCATCCATGACCTCTTTGTCTCCCACTCCCTAAACCTCCTAGCGGTCACCGAAACCTGGATCCAACCCACCGACTCCACCTCCCCTGCAGCACTCACCTATGGAGGCCTTGTCTGGACCCACTCACCCAGATCGAGTGGTTGCAGAGGCGGTGGGGTCGGCATGCTCCTGTCACCGCTGAGCACCTTCCAGGTCCTCCCTAACCCCCCCTCCCTATCCTTCTCCTCCTTCGAGGCCCACTGCATCCGGCTCTTCTCTCCCACACCTTTGAGGATTGCAGTAATCTATCGACCTCCTGGATCCGTATCCCTCTTCCAGGATGACTTTGCCGCCTGGCTTCCCTTCTTCCTCTCCTCTGAGCTACCGACCATCATCCTCGGGGACTTCAATATCCCCATCAACGTCAACAACCCGGCTACTTCCCAACTCCATCTCCTAACCTCCTCTTTTGCGCTCACACAGTGCACACAGTCCTCCACCCACACCGATGGGAACACCCTGGACCTCGTCTTCTCCCACCACTGCACCCCACACACAACTTCACTAACACCCCCTTCCCCCTCTCTGACCACCACCTCCTCACGTTTTCCATTTTCCATCTCTAACCCCTCCTCTAACTCCCCCCCCCCCCCCCCCCCAAAGCGCCAAACCCATCACCAGCCGTAACCTCCGCAACCTGAACCCGTCCCATCTCCACTCGGCAGCTGACCGTCTGTGCAACAGTATCCTTCCACTGTCATGCCCTGACCTGGCCACTACCGCGTACAACGACTCACTGTGAGATGTCCTAGACTCCCTGGCACCCCCAATCACACGTAGCATCCGATCCCGACCGCTTCAACCCTGACAGAATGACCACACAAATTGTCTCAAACAACGCAGTCGCACGCTGGAGCGATTATGGCGCAAAACCAGATCCCCTCACGCGTTCTCCCTCTACAAACTTCCTCACCTACACCACCTCCCTGCACGCCGCCAAGCAAGCCTATTTCGTAACCTTCATTAACACCCTCTCCACCTGTCCTCACTGGCTCTTCTCCACTTTCAAATCCCTGCTCTCTCTCCCCCTTCCTCCACTCAGCACCTCACTCACCGCCCACGGGTTTGCCAATCATTTCCAAAACAAGATTGACGCAATCCATAAGGACATTGTCAATTCACACTCTACCCCTCCACCTAGCCTCCCTCCCTCCCTCCATCACCCCCCTCAACTCTCCCCTCCTCTGACCTCACGACCGCACTGCCCCCCACCATACCTAACGCCCCGCACACTACAACCTCCCCAACACTCCGCTCCTTCAGCCCTGCTATCACTGAGGAGGTCTCCAAGGTCTTCACCGAAGCCCGCCTCACCACTTGCCCCCTGGACCCTATCCCCTCACAACTCCTCCAGTCACCCCCCTCCCTCCTCCATCATTCACTCCCTCACCCACATCTTCAATCTCTCCCTCTCTATTAGCACATTCCCCTCCACCTTAAAGCACGCACACATCACCCTCATACTCAAAAAACCCTTCCTTGACCCCACGGACCTAAACAACCTTAGGCCCATCTCCCTGCTGCCATTCACTTCCAAGCTCCTTGAGCGCCTTGCCTACAATCGCCTAAGCGCCCACCTCACTGATAACAACCTCCTTGATCCACTACAGTCTGGCTTCCATCCTCTACACTCCACCGAAACCGCCCTACTTAAAATCACTAACGACCTGCTAACCGCCAAAGCTAATGGCCGCTACTCTATCTTCCTGCTCCCTCGACCTCTCGGCCTTCGACACTGTTGACTACCCCCTCCTCCTTACTAAACTGCACTCCTTCAGCATCAGGGACGCTGCTCTCTCTGGTTCTCCTTCTACCTATCCCAACGCTCCTTCAGCCTTACCTATAATGCTGCCACCTCCCCCTCTCTGTTGGTGTCCCCCAAGGCTCTGTCCTCGGACCCCTCCTCTTCTCCATCTACACCTCCTCCCTTGGCAAACTGATATACTCTCACGACTTCAACTATCATCCCTATGCCGACGACACACAAATTTACCTCTCCACCCCCCTCAACTCACCCCCTCACTCTTCGCCCGCATCGCCCACCTCCTGAACAACATATCAAACTGGATGTCGCTCCATTACCTCAAATTAAACCTGTCCAAAACCGAGCTCCTAGTCTTCCCCTCAGCCCGCGCCCCCCCCCCCCCCCCCCCCGCATCCTCTCCATGACTAGCAACGCCACCATCAATCCCACCCCACACGCCAAAGTCCTGAGTGTCACCCTGAACTCAAACCTCTCCTTCCAACCTCATGTCCAATCACTATCAAAGTCATGCAGGCTCCACCTCCGCAACATCTCCAAGATACGTACGTTCTTCACCACAGACACTACTAAACAACTCGTACACTCCCTCATTATCTCTGGACTACTGCAACTCCCTTCTCACTGGCCTACCCAAACAACTGCTATCCCCACTCCAGTCTACCCTGAACTCAGCGGCTAGACTCATCCACCTCACCAACCGCAGAAACGGGGTCAAGTGTGTTCCTAGGCATGTTTAACCATGATATTCCAGCCATAATCCCCATATAGGAAAATAACTATACTCATATTCATAGGAGAAACAGGTCAAATAAGGTCCTTGGCATGTGTATCTGCAATCATCCACCCATAATCCCCATGTAGAAAAATACCTATTCTCATATTGTTATCAGAAAGGGGTCAAATGTGTTCCTAGGCATGTTTAACCATGATATTCCACCCATACTCTCCATGTAAAAAAAAAATAACTATACTCATTTTGGAAATAGGTCAAATATGGTCCTTGATATGTGTATCCACAATAATATACCTATAATCCCCATGTAGATAAATAACGCTTCCCATATTTTAATCAGAAAGGGGTCAAATGTGTTCCTAGACATGTTAAAAAAACAATATTCCACCCATAATGCACATGTAGAAAAAATAGCTATTCTCATATTCTTATCAGAAACAAATCATGTGTTCCTAGGCATGTTTAACCACTTCAATACCGGGCACTTTTATCCCCTTCCTGCCCAGGCCAATTTTCAGGTTTCAGCTGTTTCACATTTTGAATGACAATTGCGCAGTCATGCAACACTGTACCCAAACTAAATTTTTATCATTGTGTTCACACAACTAGAGCTTTCTTTTGGTGGTATTTAATCACCACTGGGGTTTTTATTTTTTGCTAAATTAACAAGAAAAGACTGAAATTTTTGAAAAAAAGAACAAGTTTTTCTTTGTCTCTGTTGTACAAATTTGCAAATAAATAATTCTTCTTCATAAATTTAGGCCAAGTTGTATTCTGCTACAGTTCTTTGATGAAAATAACCCAAATCAGTATTTATTGTTTAGTCTGTAGGAAAGTGTTAGAGTTCACAAACTATGGGATATATCTGAAAATTGATCAATCCTGAAGTGCTGACAGCCAATCTAATTTCTTGAGGCCCAAAAATGTCAGAATAGTACAGATATTGCCCAAATGACCCCCTTTTTGCAAAGTAGACATTCCCAACGTATTTCATAAGAGGCATGGCGAATTTTTAGAAGTTGTAATTTTTTTATAATAATTTTTTGAAAAATGAAGAAATTAAAAAAATTATTTTCACACATTTTTTTTACATACTGTCAGTGCAGTACAACATTATCATATAACTGGTGTGGCGATGATCAGGGACACTGACTGGTGACAGTACTAAATAAAACATTTGATAATTTTTTTTTCAATTTTTTTCAATTTTGTATTACTTTTTTTCTCTTTTTTTAAGATTTGTTTTTCATATTACACTATGACCAAAGTAGTATAATGTTACCATAATAACATTGTACTATTTTGGGGAAGTGATACACAGCCGGTGACCGATCTCGTCACAAGGTGCGATCCGGGAAGGACGTCATATGATGCCCTCCCGAATCTACAATCCGTCATTTTACTGTAGGCTGGGCGGAAAGTGGTTAACCATGCTATTCCACCCATAATCCCCATGTAGAATAATAACTATACCCAAATATGATCGTTGGCATGTGTATCCACAAAAATGCACCCATAATCTCAATGTAAAAAAAAATAAATATATGCATTTGCTTATCTAAAATAGGTTAAGTGTAACCATGATATTCCCCCCAAAATCAACATATAAAAGTAATTTTACCTATATTTTTATCTAAAAAGGTGAAATTTATTTTGTATGGGATGTGTAAACCGTTATATCCCATCCATAATCTCCATGCAGATCAATAATAACCACATTGTTATCAGAAATGCATTAATTTTATCCTTGGCGTTTGAAAACTAAAAATTACTTTTTTTAACCACCTCCTGCGCGCCATATATGAAAATGATGGGCACAAGGCGGTTCTCTCGTTCTGGGAGGACATCATATGACATCCTCCCACTCTAACCGTGCAGTGCGGCAATCGGTGGTGCGCTGTGTCTGTGGGACACAGCGGATCACCAATCTACGGAAAGAGCGGAAGACGGGCGGCTCTGTCATGTGATCAGCTGTGTCCAATCACAGCTGATCGCATGTAAATAAGGAAATGCTGGTTATTGGCATTTCTCTCCTCACAAGCTGGCACGCTGACAGCTCGTGAGGAGAGGAGAGCCGATAATTGGCATTCCTCAGAGGGGACATGTACACTGATGATCAGGGCACTGATGGTCAGTGTGCCTTGATGATCAGTGTAGTCCCAGCAATGCCACCTGTCATTGCCCATCAGCACCATATCAATGCCACATATCAGTGCCTACCAGTGCACATCAATGCCACATATCAGTGCCCATCTGAGCTGCCTTTCAATGCCGCCCATCAGTGCCAGTCAGTGCCACCTATCATTGCGCATCAGTGCCTGTCAGTGCTGCCTATCAGTGCCATATATGAGTGCTGCCTTTCAGTGCCCACCAGTGATGCCTGTCAAAGCCCATCAGTGCCACCTACCAGTGCCTGATTGTGCCCATCACTGCAGCCTCATTAGCGCACATCAGCACAGTGGCTAAGTGGTTAGCACTTCTGCCTGGCAGTACCAGGGTTGCTGGTTCAAATCCCAACCACAGCACCACCTGCCTGGAGTTTGCATGTTCTCCCCTGTGCTTGCGTGGGTTTCCTCACACACACTCCAAAGACATGCTGGTAGGTTAAGTGGCTCCTGTCTAAATTGGCCCTAGTATGTGTATGTATGAATGTGAGTTAGGGACCTTAGATTGTACACCCCTTGAGGGTTAGGGACTGATGTGAATGTACAATATATATGTAAAAGCGCTGCATAAATTGATGGTGCTATATAAGTACCTGAAATAAATAAATAAATACATCAGTGAAGGAGAAAAATCACTTATTTACAAAAGTTTATATACAGAAACTAAGAAAAACGTTTTTCAAATTGTTCAGATGTTTTTGGTTTGTTTAGCAAACAAAAAACCCAGAGCTGATTAAATACCACCAAAAGAAAGCGCTGTCTCAAAAAAATGCAAAAAATTTCATATGGGTACAGTGTTGCATGACTGCGCAATTGTCATTGAAAGTGCGACAGCACTGAAAACTGAAAATTGGCCTGAGCAGGAAGGGGGTATAAGTGCCCTGTAGGCAAGTGGTTAAACACCATTTTCCAGGTTCCTGATAAAACAATTCAAAACGTAGTGTTTTACACATACACGTACCGTGTGAAATCAGTAAATCTATTCCTATTAGTATATTGAGTAATGTTTCCATTTATATCTGTATAATTTACTGTGATGCCATTTTACAGCTGCACATATATCAGTAAGTAAAGAGTTAAACATTAGCCACTTCTACTTGCAACATAGTATCAAGCACTGCAGAAAAGAAAAACATATTTGAGTAAAAATCATTACCAGTTACGTGTTATAAAATATACTGACACCTAATGAGAGTGTTCAGCATTGCAGCCAATAATCGAAATGATCCCAAAGTGCAGTTTAGTACATCCCTTATTTTAGGTAAGGGCATCTCCCCTGGCATATTTTATTCATGCGAATGTGATACTCCAGTGTGTTCACGAGGCCATTTTATATTTATGGCGTCAAAATATAAGCTCTCGAATAGATTAAATGAAACTGAATATATTTTGACAGTAACTGCTTTCCGTTGTAAGAGGATACTTTATTTCGCGGTACTACTAAAATAATTGTGCTGCACCATATGCACGCCAATACATGCAAAGAAATCTGCATTCAGAAACCAGGATGGAGAATCAGCGGCTTGTAAACTCTCGCGATGCCGGAATTTGGAGCTCGTTGCCAGACCTTCCAATGGTGAACCCCGGTGAATACAAAGGAGGTCTACTCATAGCCAATAGCAGTTCCTCGTGTTTCGGAGTGCATCTTTCCGGCTCTATAAAAGTAGCCACGAGTTAGCATTGTCGGTAGAGTCCATTTTGAAGAAATTGAAGGGTTGTTGGGGTGGGTGAGAGCGCAAGGGGTTTTGCTTATGGTTGCGTTAATTATAGGCGATAATTGTAGATTATTTGTGCACTAGATTAACTAAATGTGGCTCTCCATTACTTTGAGAAGGAGCACTTGTTTTCGGATTTGTAGTAATTATCGCATGTAGGGGGATGAGGGGACATTTGCGGCGCAGATTTCGGGCGCTTCTTTGCATGCGTGTGGATAGAATGTTTTTAACGCACAGCTGCTGAATTTTGGTTTGTTTTGTGTCTTTCAGGCGTGCGTATATTTAACTCTTAAGCATGTCTGATACTGAGCAGCAGTATATGGAGACTTCCGAGAATGGCCATGAAGCTGGAGAGGCCGAGGTCGCCGAAGTGAAACCCTCTGCAGCTCAGGGAGGCCAGAATGGACCCGAGGGCGATCAGATAAATGCGAGTAAAGCGGAGGAGGACGCAGGGTGCGTAGCTGAAATTTCTTCCCCTTTAACTGAAGGAGTGTAAGTGATTTACGATTTATAAACTTTTCGTTTTATAATGTCTTAATCAAAGCAACAGAGGACGCTTTGAATGTGTCTTGCCAGTCCTCTTTGTTCTGTCGGTCTTTGTTGGCGCCATCTGGTGCAGGGAGGGTCTAGGCCTCTTCAAACTTAGTGTTTGTCGCATTTCTGCTATGTTTACTGGGGGAACGCTGATTTTATGCTGTGAAATATGGTGCATGTTAAATAAGCAGTCAGCAACTTTCTTAATTTTACATGTTAATGTCTGTATTTTGTGTTCTTGTAAATCCATGTCGTGTTTTATGCCCTAAAAGATTTTTACGTTTTTGATTTTAGTCTGTTTCTACCTAAATGCAGATTTCACAGGTTTACTTCCCTTTTCACATGACTTGTCCGTGTGTGGTGGTGTGTTTTTTTTTTTTTTTTTTTTTGTTTTTTTTTTTTTTTTTTGATCAGCAAGATTTAAGTGAAAGCTGAATTTGAGTGGAATGTTCGTTTTTTGTTTTTTTTTTTTTTTGTTTTTTTTTTTTCTTGACCTGTCTGCAGATTGTTTTTCGATTTGTTTTCCTTAGGACGGGGATAGAGCTCACCTCCCATCCACCGCCACACATGTATTTACTCTTAAACCAACCATATACCAGTACCCAAAATTAAAATCTGACATTTTCACATTAAATTTCTACTGGTGATTGACTAGCTATGCACCCTATCCAGTTGATATCTGGTTGCGAAGAGTTGCAGGGAGCTGACAGGACTTCATGGCACTGTTCTGTTAAAAAAAAGGCATTTTCACTGCATCTGCTGTTTGAGGGTCCCCCCCCCTCATAGCTGAACAAATTGAAACGTGAAAAATGCACAATGAAGGCAGTGTGGTTTTAATTAGGTATGCACCAAAATTTCGGCCACCGAAAATGGCTCGATCGGCATTTTGCTGATAGGAAAAATTAAGCTCATACAGGGGACTGTGGGGGTGGTGGAGAAAGGCAGCAGAGAAGCAGTGTATATAGTGACCGGCTGTCATGTCCATACCAGTTTTTAAATGTAATTGCTGGGTTTTTTTTTTTATTATAGCTCAGAGGATCAGCTGTCACTTTCCCCGAGCTAAAAGGAACATTTTTCATTTATTCTGAGCTTTGGTGAAGGAGGGAAAAAAAGCTGCCAATTACATTTAAAAACAATCGCTGTCATATAGTGACAAGCAGTGAGGAAGCCTCTATGTATTCACTGCCCCCTCCCACACACTGACTCCCCCCCCCCCTACAGAGATGGCCTGTCACTCATATGCTATTACATAGGGGACTATTGGTTCCCTATGTGATGGCAGTAAAATTGTAAGTTAAAAAAAAATATACATGAAAGTAGGAAAAAAATGGAGCCTCCCCACAAACGCAGATGTTTTAGCACCATAATTTTCATGTAGGTACACCACTAGTTTTAATGCAATGTTAGTGCCTCTTCAGTTGGCTGCTACTGTGCAGTATTCAAAAGGAGTAGCACTATAGCATATTGCACAGTTCTGTGATGCAATTTTCTAAATTGTCCCTTAAGTCTTTTATAGTGGCTGTAAACCTCAGTCATGAAATATGATTAAAGCATATCCCTCTATAGTGTGTACTTGTCTCAATCCAGACAAGTGTCATTTTTGACTGCTGCCTTGTTCCTCTATCAGCATTAATCAATCCTGACAGATTAATGACAGGACTGGGATCTCTAGCAGATTGACAGACTTGGCTGTGTTCTTGTGAACTGTGTGGAAGGGGGGGGGGGGGTGTGTCTTCCCTCCAGTCAGCTCTGAGCTCCCCCCACTGACCTCTGTAGAGTGTAATTTTAGCTCTTTGAATGCATGTAGAGCTGAAAAGACTGCAAATAAAAAGGAACAACCGACAATACTTTTCATACGAGTACATAGTACAGCAGGCACATATCAGGAATCTGAAATGTTGGATTTTAATTTTTGGTATCCTCTGTATCTGACACTTGAATGCTGTAGCAGTGTCTGCTGGCCCCTTGATTGCTACAGGATACAAGCGATGTAGGGATGGCTTACAGAACCATGGTGTTTAGCTGGGAACTGGGCATCAATGCTCCTCAAGTTATAGTATGGAAAAACCTTTTGAGTAGTCAGTCTAACACTACCCTTTGCAGATAGTGTTGCTGATCAAAGGTGTCTGTTGCTCTTCCATGCAGTGATGCCCCAGGATGGGAGATGTTACTGACTGGATCATCAGCTGGTAACATGAAAGGTAAGAGGCTAAAGCCAGCCATAGATGAATTTGAGTCTGGTTCAGCAGGGACCAGCCGTGATTTGATCCATCTACGGGCAGGGTGATTGTAACAAGATTGATTTTCTTGGTGCAACTAGTCTGGTTTTTTTAGCATGCGATTACTGCCTTCGGCTATAGCTGCTAGCAGTGAGCACTATTTTTCCCGGGAGGGAGAGCTCTGTGCACTGGAAGGTTTAATGCTTAAATAAAAAGCCAAGGGACCAAAACAGGGCTAAATCCTTTAAGTGTGTGTCCTGACATTTCTTTTTGGTAAACGTGATCCAAGAGGCTGACTAGCTGCTGGATTGCTTTTAGAAGCAGCAGGAGGGGTCATCATTCTGCTGCTCTCCAGTGTTTCTCCAGCTTGCCTGGGATCCAGTGCAGTGGTTTGTGTGGCTGGCCATAGAGATGATCTCTCTGGCCTAGGAAGACCAGAATCTATGCATCACTTCCAGTGATCTGAACGCTGCCTTTATTTTATGCTTTCAAGTGTAGTGGAGGGATCTTCGGTCTTAGAAACCCCTGATATCTCCATAAAGAGGACCTGTCATGCTTTATCACAAGGATGTTTACCTTTTTTTGTGATGACAGTAAGTGGTCAAAAAAATGTAAAGGGACACTTTAAAAAAAAAAAAAAAAAAAAAAAAAGATCTTTAATAAAATGTTTAAAAAAAACAAACAAAAAAAAACATTTTATAAGCAGAAGTGAGCGCCTGTGTAGGTCACACATGCATATGTAAGCAGTGTGTGCACCACACATGTAAGAATATTGCTGTGAACAATATAGCAGGCACAGTAATTATAGCTCTAGACCTCCTTTTGTAACTCTAAATTGGGAGTGTGTGAATTATCTGTTTGCTGTCATTCCAGTGTGTGCAGTTGTAAAGCATAACATGTTAGCTATCCGTTTACTGAGTAACATCGTTTTATATTTTGGCAAAAATTGGGTTGTTTAGTGTTTATGGCTTTGATATTTTTTAATTTATTTTTTTCCCCTTAAAAGCTGCATCAAGCAGTTTTATGCTCTAAGGTCTTTGCTATAAAAATATAATAAATTTAGGGTTTTAAAGTAATTTTCTAGTATTTTTTTGTTTTATTTTGTAAACCGTATTGGAAAAGGCATAGTCTTGGTTAATACATCCTCCATCATTTGCCAGTTCCCTCACCAACTTCAACTTCCCAGCCTTTTCTGTGTTTATTTTGACTGGCTCAGCCAGGGTGATGTGTATCTTCCACATTGCGTAAAAGTTGATGCATCCTGGCACAGGTGTGATGAGAATATACGTTTGTTATCTAGGGGAGAAGAAACGGCAGTGCCGGTCCCAGTGGATGTTGCCTGGGGAAGGGGGAGGGAGGAAGGTTTCTCAGGACCATCCAATCATTGAAAGAGCACAGTTAAAGCACTGACCAGTGTGTCCTCCTGCTTAGTGTGGTAAGTTTATTTTCCCCTTTCGTCTTTCAGGACAGCACCTTGAGAGACCTTGGCTCCCCCCTGCCTGAGGAAACACCTCCGCCCTAAAATAAGTCTATCGCTCCCCTCCGACCTCAGTTCTGGTGTTTCCTCCGGTGGGGAGACATCTTAAGAAAGCTCTCAGGGTGCTGTCTGGGGACAGTGGTACCTGACTCGTGGAGTTGGGCCGGAGAGCTGGCAGTGGGACTCCCCTGGGGTGCTGCAGTGGCAGAAGGTGTGAGCCCTGGGTGACGGTGCAAGCACTAACCTGCTGGCTGCCTCCGGTGAGTTGCGAGTGTCGTGGCGGCCTTGGTGGGATTTGGCAAGGATCGGGGAGGAGTCCCGCTCCTTCCCACGCTGGCTGTCAGCGGAGCACGCTGGGCCGTATGTCGGGACGGTGATCTGGCGGAAGGGGCGGGGCTTCTCCTGGGGTCACGGCTTCTGGCCCTATACACCGGGGATGGCGCTGCATCTTGGGACAGGCTACCTCATGGATTGGCGACCACCCTCCTGTCAATGTCAGGCGCAGAGGCACTGGGACCAGGCGAGGCCGGCACCAGCTAGACCCAGGTAAGGTGACTCAGAGGAGTCCTCCCCTACCTGTGGGCCCCTAGCTCCTGGGGTGTTCCCGGACCCTCTTGTGGTCAGAGGGTCTAGGGTGGGGGGGGGGGCTGTCGGGAGGAGTTAGTCCCTGCCAGGGAAGGGGGGGTAGGAACAGGTGGCCAATGGGTGATAGGCTCTTTCTGCCCCCTTTTTTTGTCTTTCAGGGTAAAGCCCGGGAAAAACGAAAGCATCAGGAACTTAGATGGAAGTGTCAGTCTTGTAGAACGGTTCTAAAGGAGTCATGGAAGGTTTTGTGGGCCCTGCATTGAGGGGTTAGTGAATGAAGAGAGGCCAGCTCAGGGAGACCTGGACAGGTCGGTGAAGGTGCTGACCAGTACCTTCGACTTTTTTTTTTTTTTTTTTTTGTGTTAAATTTAATGGAAAGTTTAGCCATACCCCAGGCGGCCGGCCGCCCCCCCCCCCAGCCAGTAGCCCCGACAACTAGTCAGAGCAGGGAGCTCCCTGAGACTGGAAGAACCCTCCCTGGATTCCCAGTTGGAGTCAGCAGGGGTGGGGCCCTCGGAAGGTCCCTCCAGGTACAAATTATCTCTGGAGGAAGTGGACTACCTTTAGGGGCAATTTACGATACCCTGGACATTAAGGAAGAGGTTAAACCTCTATCCTTGCACAACCAAATCTACCAGGGTATGGAGGAACAGAAGCATAGGGTATTTCTGGTGCAT